ATGGTTTGCCAGGCAGCCTTCCAGACCCTGCGCCCCCCGGCTGGGCGCTTCCCCTCCCGGGCTCCAGCTGTGCTGGGGAAGCGCCAGTCGGGGGCGCAGGGTCTGGAGGCTGCCCGGCAAACCGTAAAGCCGGTAGCACTCGGGCAGCCCTTTTCGCGTGGCTGAGAGGGAGGAGGGGGAGTTAGGGCGGGGACTTTGGGGAAGGGGCGGGGAAAGGGTGGAGTTGGAGCGGGGCCGGGGTGGGAAAGGGGCTAGGGCCTGTGGAGTGTCCTCTTTTTTTATTTTTTAAATATGGTAACCCTAATGAAAACCCACCTCCAGATGTTTTCATGGAAAAATAATTCAATGCAAAGTAGCATGACAGAATCTTGGGGATGTGTGAGATTGTTTTTTTTTTTTCTTTCCTCCTAATGTCACTTAAAAACACACTAGCTGACTAGGGGATTCAGGCTCACACATTGAAATCTGCTAGGGAGAAAAAAGAATTACTTGGCCCAAATCCACTGCAGTCGGTGCTCTGAGAATTTCCATTGCAGGAAGGGAATGTCAGTGTTTGAGATACTCCCACTAAGGCCGCCTTGAAAATAACAGAGGTGGGCATTGATCACCAGCTTGTTGTGGACATCATCTTTATGAATAATTAGGACAAGTAAATATCCATCTTCCCATGAGCTGGCACAAAGGTACCACGTATATACAAGGTAGCTGTCTGTAATGCTTTTTATCTATTCAATTAAAGGTACTTTACATTCTATGAATAAATCCCATTATATTTTACTGAAATGAAATTGAAAATCCTGTTATCCTTGTTGCTCATGTAAGTTGCCATTTTAATGTATTTCTCAAAAAGATATTGCATATAGTGTTTTTTTTTTTTACCCAAATCGTCATGCTAGAATATTCCCCATGAGCCAACTAGTTGGAAGCAACACATAAAGGTACCTGATAGTTTAGTGAGGTTTTGGAACAGTAAAAGAGAAGGATGTTTTGCAAACATTGCCTAGGGAGGTGGCCCAATTGTATAAGAGGGAAAGAGAAAATTATAAGGTTGGGATGAGGAAGGTTAGAAGTAAAGATGGAACATGTGATGCTCTGACTTCCCTGTACTGCCACAAATACAATTTCTCTCTCTTTGGTTCAGGATTTGGGCAAAAGTGTGATACTAAATGGCACACAGGAGAGTATTAGGTCTGCGAGCAGGTTACTTATTGTAATTGCTAAAGTCCATCTATACAGGTGTTTTTAAAACCAGCATTTTACCTGAACTGGCAGTGAGAGGGGGACCCACAATGGATGCAGTGAGTGGCCAGTTTAAATAAATTCTTGTCAGCTGCCTCTCCAGACATCAACAAGATGTCACAGACAATTACATGATTGCTTTGTGAATAAAGACCGTTAGGGCTTAAAAAGGAAAGGGTGAATGCCATCAGGAGGTACTGACTGATAATCACTAGATTTTTTTAACATGCATCCACAATTGCGGGGATACAGCCAGTGGCTATAGACTCCAGGAAAGAAGGAAGAGGGTAATACCAAATGGGTAATAACAGCTATAGCAATTAGAAAGTTTGTTCAAAGGTACATAAATGTTAAATAAAAGAGTCATGCCAGTGTACTGCTACTTGAGCTCAGATCCCACTTCCTAAAACTGTTTTTGAATTAGCAACTAATTGGCAGCTGTCTCTAGCAGCTCTTTTATTGTTATAGACAGATGGAGGAAAATCAGCTATCAAAGAACTCATTCTGTTTATCATTAATTTTGATTTTGTTTAGCAGATGTTTTCTGGATCTCTCAGTCACCTGCCTAATCTGTTTTGGTATAATGTGAAGTGGGTAACAGTCATTCATTAAACAGATTAATAAATTCCCTAATTTCGTTCTGGTAGCTTCCTTTATTGCTCCAGACATACAGAATTCTGAGAAGCAGGCTGTAAACCATCCTGGGTTTTATTGTATCTTGGATAATAAAAGGTCAATTTAAAATGTATGTTGCCATCTGGGCAGATATTGAGCATTTGTTTTTCTTTGCAATAGGTTTGTATAAGAAGGAGTTCTGTAGGTTCCCAAGAAAGTAGGTCAAACTGAAACAGTAGAGAGGAGATGTTATGTATTTTTGTTATATGACCATTGTTAAAGGAAAAATCTGATTGGCTGAGGTGCATGTATCTGCCTTGACAGTAGCTGGCACTCAAGAGTTAACTTGCTAAAAAGTGTATCGCTCCTTTAAAAAAAAATCAAGATATCAAGTTATGTCAGATACCCATAAATTGTAGGTGGTTGAAATTACTTAGGTAGGAATTTTCAAAAGTGCACACCATTGGCCTAACTCTGCTCCTGCTGAAGTCAATGAGAGTTTTACCATTGATTTAAGTGAGACCAGAAGTAGGCCAACACTGATTACTTTTGAAAATTTCAGACTTGACATTGAGATCTCTTAGGCAGATGGAGGTTTTACATAACTCTTTCAGACGGTTGAAGATGTTTATTCATATAACTCATATTACCTCACAACACATTGGGTATCAAGTATAACCACATTTCCAGTTCTGTTGCTATTTATCCATATTGATATAAAAACCTGCCAAAGAAGGTATGCTGTGGCCCAAACAAAGCTGTCTGTTCTCTTGACTGACAGTTTTGAGTCAATGCTGAATATGAGATCCCCTCAAGTAATGTGAGGTTATGTGCTTTGAAATTAACCCCTTATAAAACCACATATTAATTACTGTGATTCTTTTTTAAATTCAGGCCAACAAGGTATAAGGTTCAACCATTTTCTGTTTTTCTTTTTCTTTTCTTTTTTTTTCTGGAGCAGTTTTACTACTGAAAATAGCCGAACCACAGTTTTATGCCCATAGTTTATTGAGGATGCAGATATTAGCTGCTAGATGTCTAACAATCTAATAATTCAGTTCTGTGCCTATGAAAATAAAGGCCATGAGCAAAACTTTCAAAATTGCCTATGGGCCAGACTTTTAAAGGTATTTAGGCATGGAGTGGTATTTTCAAAAGCATCTAGGCCCTAATTCCCACTGATTTCAAAGAGTGTTAGGTGCATTGGTGCTTTTGAAAAATCATACTTGCTGCCGGAATACCTTTAAAAATCTGGCCCTAAGTAATTTAGGACCCATTTTCAAAAGGGATTTAGGAGATGTAATCTCATTGAAAATCATTGAGATTTAGGCTCAAATCACTTAGAAAAGTGTGGGACAAAGGCCTGGTCCACACTAACCCCCCACTTCGAACTAAGATACGCAACTTCAGCTATGTGAATAACGTAGCTGAAGTCGAAGTACCTTAGTTCGAACTTACCGCGGGTCCAGACGCGCCAGGCAGGCTCCCCCGTCGATGCCGCATACTCCTCTTGCCGAGCAGGAGTACCAGCATAGACGGCGAGCACTTCTGGGATTGATCCGGTATCGATTTATCGCGTCTAGACAAGACGTGATAAATCGATCCCAGTAGATCGATTGCTTACCACCGGACCCGGAGGTAAGTATAGACCTACCCTTAGGCTCCTAAGTTATTTAAGTGTTTTTGGAAATCCCCCTTTGGAAATCTCCCCGAATATCAGTTAATATTGTCTACAGTTCTCTTAAGTAAAATTGACATGGCCAATAACAATAAGTCTGATTCACCACTGCCTTGCATCTTGTGTGGTCATTTACACTGGGCAAAGTAGGTGCAAAATGGTCCTAAATAACTATGGTAGTGTTTTATGCCCACTTTACACAAGTGTAAATAGTTACATGAGGAGCATGGCAGTCTAGAATCAAACCCAATAAGTATTTCCAGTCACAAGCATGTTT